AGCCTGCTTTCAGGAATCGTGGGAATGGGTGGGTGGTGGTTCGGGTGAGAAAGATGAGACGGACGAAATGAAGACAGAAAAGAATGAAAGATTATCTGTGGAATATTACTGCCCCAGCATTTGCCTAAGTGATCCAAGGAAACCACAGAAAAACTTGGAGCAAGGCAGACGGACCCGGAATCGAACCGGCGTCCTCCCGAATGGTAAGCAATGGTCTAAACCTCTAGGCCATGCCGCTTCTAGTATGTCTTTAACCAGTCCTTCATGCCTGAGAAGGTGTCCTACCGACTTCCATATCGTCCTCTGTTCTCCTAATCTTTCTAATACCTCCCCATTTCCAGTCTTCTCTATCCACGGTATCCTCATCAGTTATCTGTGACACCACATTTCGAATGCTTATATTTTTATGTCTCTACTGCTTCTTCCATTCTGAGTTATCTGACTTTCTATATAACGAAAATGGGTGACTTCTTCTAATTTGTCGTCTTTATTTTCATATTCACTCTTCTCCTACTTTTTATTTTATAATATAATTTAAAGGCTGAAATAATTTTATTAACATAATATGCTTAACGTTGAGTTTCCTATAAATACAATCCAGGACATCTACCATGTAGGTAGGAATAATAAATAAATAAAAAGAGTATAAACCCCGTGGATGAGTAAAAAACCAAAATAAAAAAACAGACAGGATTTCAAGCTGATGTCCGACCAGGACAATTTAAATCTCATTCACGTTTTCCAATCGGAGAACAGCTGCGGTCCTCTATTACATATGTAAACTTTATGCATTACACATCCCGATACGTATAATCCTTTAATATCCTAGACGAGAGCGGCAGGTAAATATTCCGGTTGAAATAATACGAAACCGTTTTAAATATTGCAATAAACTGGCACGTTGCAAATGGAATTCAGTTTTTTTTACTACATTCATATGGTTACTAACTAGATGTAATATATATCACTTGAATTAATTTTTAACGAAAACAATATTTATTATATTCAGAGGCACATTGGGAAATGTTTAATCAGAGCTTCCTACGG